CCAAATATTGTAAAATATAAAGTACACGATAAATATTTACATGGTTTACAAAGCAGAACTCGAAAGTTCGCTGTCGATTATATATACATATATACAATAAAGAACCCCGAATAATATTTACGCGGTAATTTTGAATTTAGTTAGTCCGGCTGCGAGCAATCAAAGATAGCACTATCCGCTGAATCGACAAACACTGGCGGGTTGTATAACGACGCGAAATGTGAACTCTAGTAAAACGCGAAAGCGCGAAAAAGACCCGACGTAAAAATATTACGCGCGATTTTGTATATTGCGAGCGTTTCGTTCGTGTGGAATCATCGCTTTCCCGAAGCCAAGTTGTCTTGGAGGTTCCGAGTCCTGGTGCTGTTCCATATCCACCGCGCTTGGGCTTGATAACGGGTTGAGACGAATGGGGGTGCAGGCTTCAGTCTTCCAGGCTCTTCCGGTCCGCGACCGCTGTGGTGCTGTTCCATGTCCACCGCGCTTGTTTTTGACAGCGGGGTGAGACGGATGGGGGTGCAGGCTTCAGTCTTCCGCCGCGTCTTGGTCTCCAGAGCGTTCCCACGGGGCCGCGACCGCGACCGCGAGCGCGAAACGACGAGTGCAAGTCGGAGTACCGGACCGAGCCGAACTTGCACGAACGCGTAGAAAAATACCGGCTGTAGTTGTAACGAACACGAACGAACGAACCCGAACGCGCACATCGCGAGGGCATTTTAATTGACTTTCAGCTTATCAACGCGATTTGAAAAAGAGCGAAAAGCGTCCCACCAGTCCCTCTCGTCCCGCAGTTCGGTGACCTCCCGATAGTTGGTCGGCCATCTTAAACCGCGGGCTGCGAGGGCCCGGTCGGCAACTCCTCGTTGTTGAGCAAAAAGAACGCAGTTAAAAAGGACGTGCTCCGCTGTATCGGTGCCACCACACTCACACAAATCGTTGTCGATTTTCCCGATACGTTTTAAGTATGAATTAAAGTTCCCGTGTCCTGTCATAAGCTGTACCATATAGAAGTCAAAATCTCCCGTGATTTTCCTGTCGTAACAGGGATCCGGTAGGAAGCTCGCCGTAGTCCTTCCGGTTGTAGCAGTCCTCCATCGTTCTTTCCAAGCCTCCAGGGAAAGATTGCGTAAACGTCGCTTGACGAGTGCCCTGGGCGCCAAATTATAAGTTGGTGCAGTCGCCTGGTTTGTGGCGGCGGCCTTCGCAAGTTGATCCGCTGCGTCGTTTTTCTCGTTTCCAGAATGCGACGGTGTCCAGTGGAAACGTAAGGAAATTTCTCTGGCCAGATTGACCGCGAGTTCCCACGTCTCCAGTTGTAGCGTAGTTGGCTGTCTCATATTGCGAAGGGCCGTCAGCACTGACTGGCTGTCCGTAACGATGGAACACTCCTTGATTATATCCGAATGCCCTCGGAGATATGTAAGTGCTTGTCGTAGTGCTATCATTTCACACTGAAAGATAGTACTATGTTCCGCGAGGGTAAAATTATCCCGATGGATCTCGGCGTCTCCGTTGAACAAAATAAAGGATCCTCCAGCCCGTCCGTCGTCCAATCTAGAACCATCTGTATAGATCACTGTGTTGTAGGCGTCCTGGACTCCCTCGGTAAACCGGAAGTTGTCCATGTCCGCAGGATGTACTGTGTCGGCTAGGCTGACGCGACGTTCGAGCTGTCGGTCCTGGAGTTGAAGTCCGTCAAGGTCGTTGTTGCTAGGGTGGCCGGTGAAAAGGCGGTACCTTTTCGCCGTTTCCTGCAACAGAATATCAAACGGCAGAATTTTGCTCAACACAAATGCCGCTTCCGATGGAACAGTACGATACGCCGTCGCTGCTTTTACTGTCAATATTCTCTGAGCGCTTAAAAGAGACCTGCATTCTTTAACTTTACAACCTTCAGCCCAAATCGGTGCCCCGTAGAGCATCGCCGATTGTACCGCGCCCTCGTAAATTTTTGCCAAAGCCGCGCCCCTGAAACCCCACGTGAGTCTAGCGGCCGCCGCGATTTTGTGCGAAATTTCTTTGCTCTTATTGACCACATATTGAATGTGTGACTTCCATAAAAACTTTTCGTCAATCATTATTCCTAAATATTTTATGCTTTCCGAACAGTGAACAAATCGCCCGTTTAAGGTAAATGCAGGTCTCTGTTGATTGATTTTTTTGCCAAAAAATAGAGCTTCAGTTTTTTCCGCGTTGAACTGTAATTTTAAATCTACCGCCCAATCAGACAACATAGCGAGTGCTTGGTTGGCCTTACTTTTAAGAGATTTATATTGTTGCGCCTCGACGACGAGCAAAGTATCGTCCGCGAATGAAAAAATTTTGCATCCGGCCGGTAATGCGATATTAAAAATTGTATCGTATAAAACATTCCACAGGAGCGGGCCGGAGCACGACCCCTGCGGACAACCCCTTTCAACTTTTTTAGTTACCGCTGTTCCGGAAATGGTAACAACAGCGGTTCTGTCGCTAAAATAATTTTGAACTAATTTGATTAAATTTCCGGAAATGTTACGTTTGCGCAATTCGAAAATAATTCTTGGCCACCAAGCGTTGTCAAAAGCTCCGGAAATATCTAATGCAATAGCAGCGACGTAGTTATCATTCCTACGTGAGTTTTTAATATTGTCGATGACTGCATTAACAGCGTCCGTGGTGGACCTGCCAGAAACAAAACCAAATTGATTGATATTAAGTCCTCCGTTTTTATTAATTTCAAACTGCAATCGAGTAGTAAAAATTCTATCTAAAATTTTGCCAACGATCGGCAACAAGCTGATGGGACGGAAGCTTTTTACGTCGTCGAAATTTCGCTTACCCGGTTTTGGTATAATTTTTACCGATTGTTTTTTCCAGCAGGCTGGAAAAACGCCTAAATAAAAACAACTATTAAAAATGTTAATAAAAACATCCGGCGCAACTTTAAAAGCTGCCAGGGCTGCGTCGGAAGTGATTCCGTCGAGTCCCGGCGCTTTACGCGGATTCATCCTGCCGACGGCGCGCTCTATTTCCGCGTAGGTGATATTCTTAAAAAACCCATCAAACTCGATTGCATTGTTCGCGGCCGTGCGAACTCGCGCGTGATTTTGATTATCTGAAATAGGGTCGTCCGACGGAAAGAAAGAATGTAGAATAAAATCGGCCGTATCTTTAGTGTCTTTAGTGAAAGTACCGTCGGGAAGTTTTAGATTTTGGAAACTTACTTTGTTAGTTTTTTTACCGCGAATGACTTTGTAGGCCGTTCCCCAAGGATCCTTTTCTGAATTGCGCGTGCAAAATTCTTTAAATTTATCGCCCCTTGTTTTAGTTAATAGTTCTTTATATTCCCGAAATGCACGATTATATACGGCTCTTTTATTGTTTCTAATGGCGTCGTTTTTTTCGCGTTGAAATGATCGACGAAGTCTACGCGTTTCTGATCTTTTTTCAGTCAGCTGTTTTGTCCACCACGGTACACTATTTCTAAAAGATTTTGTAGGCGGCATTGACGCCTCGCAAGCTTCTACAATGCAGTCATTTAAAAAACTAGCGCGATCTGAAACATTATTTTCGTCTAATAGTACTATGTTTCCTATGCTATCCCTAAATTTTTCAGAAAAAACGTCCCAATCTGCTTTTTTATTACAAAACCTACGGTCGACAAAATCTATCTCGCTATTGTTAAAATGTATTTGCCAAAAAATTAACTTGTGATCGGAGAGTGTTTCTTCGTCAACAAGTTGCCAATTTTTAATTAGTTTAAGTGCCTCAAAATTTACTACTGTTAAATCAACAAAACTAATACCGCGATGTCCGACAAAAGTTGGTTCAGTATTATTATTTAAAACAATTAAATTATTTTGTTCAAAAAATTCAAAAAGTTTATCACCCCTATTATCGTTAATCGGACTGCCCCATACGTAATGTTTAGCATTAAAATCACCCGCGAAGATAATTGGTTTTAAATTACCTATTTGATGAGCAATTTCTCGAAGTCGTTCGAAAATGAGGTTTTCGTCGACATTAGTGCCAGCGGGTGGTAAATAGACATTTACGAGAATAAGCGATTTGGAAAAATAGGTAATTTCACTAATGACAATATAATCTGTTGAAATGTTCTCTAGAAATAGATTATTAATGTTCAAATTATTAACAATAATGGCACTTTTAGGAATATTACATTGTTTCGAAATGATAAAATTATTTTTAGAAAAACCTGTAATTTTAGATTTGTTGACCGTCGGTTCCTGCACAAAACAAATATCTAACTTTTTATCTGAAATAATTTTCAAAAGATTGCTTGTAGCCGCCTTGCCCTTGCCTAAATTAATTTGTCCGAAATTTAATACCAAATCCGCGTCGGGGTTGATTTTTGTGGATTTAGGATCCATAAAAATCAATGTTGGAAAGGATTGAATTTTTAATCCTTATCATCGTGGGGCAAGACGACGATTTCGCGTCATGGTCTACACTAACAGGGGAGTGCTTTTTGTCCCTATTGGACCTAACACAAACAACACAAGATGTTGTTTTCGACTTACAGTCTTTAAAATGGTGTTTGCCACCGCACTTGCCGCAAATTTGCTCTTTCACCTTACAATTCTTGGAAAGGTGCCCGAAATCATAACACTGGAAACACTGAAGTAACGAAAAATGATCCCTAACAAAGACGCGTTGCCAATTCAGATAAATTGGCCTATCTAACATTTTTAATCTAAGCGACGGATTAACTTCAAATACTGCGCTATACATTTCCCTATTTCCGCGGGTCTCGAAAACTGCGAGCTGCTTAAAATTAGCCCTAAACTTGTCTATATCGTTGCCGCAAAAGTCGTCAATGAAATCATTATGCCCTAACATAGTCTCGTGCAAATCTTTTGAGTTAAGCTCTTTACTAATCCTATCGATTCTGACACGTGGCCAGCGTTTTTTAACGCCCCTAACCGCTACATCGTTTTTAGCCTTCATGTTTAACGTTAATTTAATTTTTTCCGCGTCTTCTTTATTTGCGCAATCTACAACTACATCTCCCGATTTAGTTGCCCTAACGTTTTTCCTAAAATATTACTTTTTATTGGGTCTACTGTACGCATTATTACTTTCTTAACAAAATTTGCGTCTTTAGCAGACTCTTTGGCCTGGACGCGAACCGTATGGGATGGTTCATTTATTTTCTGCTTCGGGGTAAAACTACCGTTATTTCCGCCTGCCTTTACTCTATCCGCATAAGAAAAAATCGGGGTACTTACGTTTTTCGACTTTTGCAGCTCCTCGATCTTTTGGTCTTTCAACTTTAAATTGTGTCGCAGCTCTTTCACAATCCCGGTGATCTGGATGAGCCGTTCCATTAGCTCGTCCGCTGTTTCCCGAATAACTTTTCTGTCGGCTACCTTTATCGTTTCCGCCTTCATTGGGATTAGACGACGTACCATTTTGTATAGCCGTCGGGCGTCGCAGCTGAAGACGTCCTCGGGATAAGGGCCGGTCACCTGCGTTGTCTCACCATCATCCCGCTGTTTAATCTTTTTTGAACCTGAAACAGAGTTAGTTTCAGACTCGTCGTCACTAATCGTACGCGCACTTTTTCTTTTTGTAGACTCTTGCGAAAAGTCCATAGCCGTCACGTTGACGACACACTCACTCGCGCTGCCTGACATAGAATGCCGGCGACTGGTTGCCTCGGTGGGCGTGGCACTGCGCAACTCGCTCATCGTACGACCGAACCGTACGAGCGCTCGATGCGAACTGGTAACTTAAGACAGCAGGACGGTGGCCATGGAAGTCGGAATCCGCCAAGGAGTGTGTAACAACTCACCTGCCGAAGTTACTAGCCCTGAAAATGGATGGCGCTGTAGCGTCGTGCTTATACTCTGCCGTCAGCGGCAGGAGCGGCGCGGCCCTAGCGGTCGCGTCACGAAGCTCTGACGAGTAGGAGGGTCGCGGCGGTGAGCGCAGAAGGATTGGGCGTGGGCCCGTCTGGAGCTGCCGTCGGCGCAGATCTTGGTGGTAGTAGCAAATACTCCAGCGAGGCCCTGGAGGACTGACGTGGAGAAGGGTTTCGTGTGAACAGCCGTTGCACACGAGTCAGTCGATCCTAAGCCCTAGGCGA